TTATAATGTTTTTAATCTCACCCCTTGCCTATAGTATACTATAAAAATAAATAAATAAATAAAACTTAATTTTTAAAATTTATATAGAATAATAATACAATAGTATATATTTGATATACAATATATATATATATATACACACACTGTGGCTATCGTATTTTATAGTAAGTTTTTTATAAGTTTAAAAAATTAAAATCATCAAAATAACATTTTTCTTAACGTGTCGAAATAGGTTACCCCCATCTCACCCTTGTGTAAACCTATTAAGAACCTGTTACTAACGGGTTCTTATTGCGTGACTCAATAGCGACCAGATTAGTTATCGTGTCAACGCGAAATCCGTTATTTTTGTGTTGTTTACATTTATGTAAGAAATTGTCAGGTCTAAATGATAGTAGCAATTAGTGTTAATTAGTACCATTGCTCTACTCTCCAAAACATTGTTAAACAAATAATGATAACATAAATCTAAATTATAGTATCCCCTGGCCGTTGGATCTATACAACTCATTGGAGTTGTAGCTGTTGGGCCCAGAAAACGGGTTGGGTACTAAGCTAACTTTGGTCAGCCTGATAGCCATTTGGCCATGTTTTGACCTGGTGGGCTCCACTAATATTTGGCTTAACCTTCAATTGGAGATGGATTTTGTCTAAATCAGACCCTATTTTGACCGTATAACCCCTTAACCCTCTACATTGGAAGTGGCTAATTTGCTTCCACCACACTAAGCCTTGGTTTGGTACTGAGGTGATTTTAAAAAAGAAGTGGGTATCAAAAAAAGTTGGGAGAGTTTTTGGTGTTTGGTAAACACCCTAAACCAGCTTTATTTCAAAGTTTAGGATGAAAAAAGGCCAAAAACCTGAAGCTGCAAAAACCAGCTTATTTGAAAAACACGGGTGAACAGTAAATTCATTAATGAATTTTTCAATTTGTCAACATTGCCCTCCTTTCTCCTGCCTTCCTCACACTTTCACTCTCGCACACCCTCTCGCAAAACCATTGAAAAACCAGACCTGGAACTTCAATCCTAGTTGAAGCCTCCACCTCCTGCCACATAAAACTCCTATATTATTCAATTCCAACCCATTTTCGAACCTCGATGTCCCTCTTGACCCAATCTCCTCCAGAATCCATTAACAAGTCGTCTTCTCCAAAAGCTATGAAAGTTAACCTCCACCAAACCAGCGTCTGCAACTCCACCCAAAAACTCAACCTTTAATCCTTGCTTCTCACTCCAACCCCCCAATTTCTCTCTCTAAACGCTTCACCATCAATACGCACATCCCAAAGTCTTCAATTCTCTGACCCATCGAAGAAAAAACAAGAATCAATCATCAAAATCTTCCCTTGTTTACGACTCCTCATCAGCGAAATCTAAGGCTCGACCTTTGAGAAAACTCGATAATCCGATTGTTTTGTTGGTTTCATCAGATGGGTTTCGATTCGAGTACCAATTCAAGGCTCCGATGCTGAATATCCGCCGCTTTATCACCAATGGGACGGAGGTGGAAAAGGGTCTGCTTTCGGTGTTAACAACTCTAGCATTTCCTAACCATCACTCAATCATAAAGTTTATAAATATTTTTCTTTTAAAAATAAAGTATATTTAGTAATTCACCTTTATTTGTTAAGAACATTAAATTAATAGCACATCTAGTATTATACCTTTTTTGGTCATTTCAAACAGTCACAGCTATTTAACATAAAAGTTTACCAAACACTATAATATTGCTTTTTTTTTTTTTTTTTTTTTCCAAAATCACTTTTACAAAAAAAATTTACCAAGCACTCTGCTGTTGCTTATTCTCACAGCATAGTAGAAGCAGTTTTTTTTTTTTTTTTCAAAGCACAGTAATACCAAACCAGCCCTAACTACCATCGCAATTCCCTCTCTCGTTCCCGACCGCGCTCGTTAGCGGCCATACCCAAAACCCCTCCCGCCTCACTACTCTAACACAACCCAGCCACCTGTCTCTCTCTCTTTACCCTCTCCCACCTCACCTCTCTCCTGTTTCTTTCTTTCTCCACTATGTAATTTTTTTTTTCATGAATGGTTTGGTAAACACCCGAAAGGATTTGAAATTGATGTCTAGATATGAAATTTTTGAAAATTGTCAAGTCCAGTAAGACCATGTGTAATTGGAAATCGAAAGAAATATGGGGGATGATAGATGCTAGATATGTGGAGAGGGGGGCTAGTAATTCTAAAAATGGAGGTAAGATTCGAGTTAGTATGTGGGGGAGATGATGGTTGGGGTGGTGGAGATGGCGGCTGAGGTTGGGGTTGGTGGCTGGGTAATTAGGTTAATTTTAGTTTATTTTTTATTTAGTTATGATTTTTAAAATTTGAAAAAGAAAGATGTTTTTTTCTCAAAAAATATAATTATTTTTCTTTTCTTTTTTTGTCCAGGTGGCGGCATCTCATTGGACTTGTGGGTCTCACATATGTGCCATGTTAGTGCACTAACGGAATTTTGACAGAATTCTAACATAATGATTACATTGATTCTTTAAAACAAATTTTAGGGAGGACATTGATTGATTTTCAAATTCAATGACCAAAATGAGGATTTATGTCAATTTTAGAGACTATTTGTGATAAAAACCTTTACTTTAATTTTCAATGTCAATGAGAGGTTTTCAATTTGTTTTCCTTAAGCCTTGGCTCCCGCATCATTTCTTCTTGTTGAAGAAAACTCGTTCTCAAGTTTTATTTGAGTAAACTTCAATCCAAATCGCGAAGTGTAGCAACCATTCTTTCCTGCAAGGCTTTGTTTTCTTCTTCTAACTTACAAACAGATATGTTGCATAGAATGTAAGGAGGTTGGTCATCTCTTGAGCTCGAATATATTATTAGGATACCCATAAAATGTATTAAAAGTTAAAACACTTAAACAATTCATTCCTTCCACTCAACCTCTTGATGAAAGTATGTATAAAATCCCACCAAATTGTGTTATGGAATTGAAACTCGGCAAAAGTTTGTGCTACCTTTGTCCATCCGTTGGTGATGATTTGTCGTCTTGTGTGTCCAAATTTGAATGTCATCTTCAAATTTTTACCATCGTGAACTTGATAGGATTAAAAGCACACCACAAAGTAGCACAAAGATTTGTCAATTGTAGCATATGAAAATAAGGGTCTTTCCCACAAAAGATTGTTTTATATAACTACTTAAAATGTCACAAAAACTGTGCTGCTATTCCTACTGGCCAGCCACCAAAAAATAATTAATAGACCGACTTATACTTATCTAAAGTCTACGAAATTTTATATGCAAACACTAGACACACATAGCTACACTCGCACAAATCTTTGGGATTTTTGGAGTTAATTTGCTATTTAAATTAAATTAAACAAAAACAGAACATAAACAAATTTTTAAGTAGTTCACAAATTAAGAAAAACGAGTTAGGGAAATTTTTATCCACCACCAAATAATCATACAAACATGTTATGTTTCATTCAAATTCCTTCTATTTCCAGATGTAGATACTCAAGTTGGCTCAATGTTAGAACTCAACCTATTACTCTTTCTTATGTAGTATGTTAAGATAATGGCGTTTTCAACTTAACTTAGTCCCTAGCATGTAATCTAGAATGTCGTTTTCATAGATTTAACAAATAGAAGTCATTAAGAACGGAAAGAGTTTGAGTCATCACAAGACATCGTAAGTACTGGCGTTGTCTTAGTTATCCTAGAAATTGGTTCACATGTTAATCGCAATTAACAAGTACTACTCTAGAACATATGTAGGTCCTCATTCGGCAAGGGCAGACACACACATATTCATAGCATTAGAATCCTAGATATGCTTACTAAGTATACATCCATAAAAAACACATAAATAATTCATCAATGAGACAAGTAGTGAACTAATTTTCATCCATTCATAAAAGTAATTCAAACGAAATGTCATAACAAACTTGCAATCATATTCGGTGCTTCAAACAGCCCCTAACTACTAAAAATTTAGTTACACAATCCTTAAGTTAAAACAAAAGATAGACATGAGTTTGAGAAAATAGAACCGAAAGAAATCGACTGAGGCTTCCTCTTTCCTTCGTTCCCCAACGCAGCAGCCTTACCTTTTTTCCTTGCTTTCCTTCCTTTTTTTATGTCTTTTTTTTTCCACCTTTTTTTCCACGCTTTGCCGCTGCAACCTACAGCCCTTTTCTTCTTTTTTGCTGCCACAGTTTTTTCTCCATAACTCACCCCACTAACAGTCATTTAGTGATGACAATAAGTGAAAGGAAATGCTAAAACAATTGTAACTCTTTGGGCAGCCTTTATGCCCATTACTCCCACTTAATTTTCCATTTCCTCTGATATTTGAATAGGTGTCAGCTGATTTGTTCTTGGCTGCATTAGTTTTGGCTGCTAGTTTTATTGGATTTATTGCTTGCAATGCCTTCTTGTCAGTTACAAAATGCTCAGCCTTTTCGGAACCTTTCAGTGTTAAAACAACCATAACTTCTTCTAGAAAAATGATATTAACAATCTGTGAAATGCTCCTGAAAATAGATATCCGTAGCTTTCCAAGTATATAAGGCTCATTCTCTAATTCATTCTGAGCTGTCCGACACTTGCTTCCAAAATCAACTGACTTGCATAGGCAGTTTTGATGAATTTGTTACTTAAAATCTTATTTGTGCTATTTTTCTTTTCTTTGCTTGACAAATCCTACAAAACACAAAAACAAAGTAAATAACTCAAAAATATATGGAACTAACTAAAAAAAAGATAAGTGAATTTGATGTAAAATATATATAAATATGAGCTTATCAGAACTTCATTGATGGACTTCATATTGCGTCCTTAATTAATCACTTCATCCAAATACTTTCCAGCATCATAAACATCACAATCACGGTTGAGAGAACGTTAATAACAAAGTGAAAATTGGTTAACTAGAAGTGAGACGAAATAAAATGAGAAAAAATCAATTTCAGAAGGTAAATTGAGATTGAATGACCGATTTATGAGCATTTCAATTAATAAGCCCATAGAGTAAGTTTGAAAACAGAAAAAGGAAAATCAAGATGAAAAAGGTTTTGGCCAAATACAGACAGGAAGGGACAGAAAAAGGGGCAGGGTTTGAAGAACCCTAACACAAGCGGAGTTGGCGACAAAGCATACTGCTGGGCATCACAGGCAAGTTTATATTTCAAATCCAATTTTTCTGTCTTTCATATGCAAATCACTGCTAAAACCTCACTATAAACCCCCCAAAATATGATAACCTTGATAAACAAAAAGCTAATCTCACTCTCACTAACCTCTGTCGGGCTTCACAAATCCCCTCTCTGCAACTCAATCTCTCTCTTTTTCTACTCTTCGTCCCGACCCAAAAAGTGGAAATCAAAACCCAAAATTGCAGTAGCTGAATACTTAATCAGCCAGCACCAGTTTTCCCCAGAAGCCGCTCTGAAAGCCGCATCAGCAGTCGCTTATCTGAAAAGCCCTGCTGAATCCAGTTCGGTGATTTCGTTTCTCAGGGAAAGCGGCTTCTCGAAAACCCATCTGGAAGATGTGGTTAAAAGGGTCCCCAGGATTCTTATTGCCAATCTTGACATTGTCCTCAAACCCAAATTCAAGGTTTTCCAGGACTCGGGCTTTTCGGATTCCGACATTGTTGATATTGTGTCCGCTGACCCCTGGCTTCTGTTGCGAAGTGCCGATAATCAGCTTGGCCCTGCTCTGTTGGTGCTGAAGAACATTCTCGGATCGAATGCTAGTGTGCTCAAGGTTTTAAAGTTGTCTGGTGGAGTTCTCAAATATGACTTGGAGAAGACATTGATGTCTAATGTTGAGGTCTTACAGAGTTATGGTATAAAATCGTCACAAATTATCAAATACATTTTTCATTTTCCGAGATTTTTTGTGCATAAGCCGGAGAGCATTGTGGATGTTATTAAAAGGGTCGACGAGATGGGTTTCGATATGAAGTCCAAGAGGTTCCTATCAGCAATTCGGATCATGACTTCGCTCACTGTCGAGACATGGGAACGGAAGGTGAAGCTTTTCAAGAGTTTGGGGCTTTCAGAAGATGATATCTCAGCGGTGTTTAGGAGGGTACCCCAGGTGTTTGGAATATCTGAGAAGAAGATTGAGGAGGTTGCAGAGGTGCTTCTCAGCACTGGCAAGTATGATATCTCGTTTATAGTTAATCACCCAGAATTGCTTATTTATAGTGTCAAGCACACGCTGAAACCACGACTACAAGTTATGGAGATCCTCGAAAAGAAAAAACTACTTGGGAAAACACCTAATTTGACCACAATCTGCAAGTACTCTGAACAGAAGTTTGCTGAATTATATGTTGTTCCTTATACAAATGAACTTGAAGGAAGAGTGCATGGAGTGGAAATCAAGATCTCCTGATTATTGCTGAGGTAATTTCTTTTGTGCATTTCTGTTTCTTTCTTTCGTTCTTTGTAAGGATGTAACTTTCATATTAATGTGATCTTCGATCAATGTCATAGCTGCTTCGTTTATGAAATTCTTTGAACTTTGAATTCAATGGGAGGAGTGACTAGCATTTCTGAAATTCTTTAGAATTTGAATGCAATATAAAGGAATGACCATCGAACAAGTAATGATATTTTCTGCTGAAAGTTATGCTTAGTGCTCTTTTAGGCTCTAGGTTACCAATATCTTGACCTAAGGTTATTAGTTTCTGCTGTGTGTTTTGACTCTTACGGTTGCATATGTTTTTACTTTGGTCTTCCTTGTTTGTATATTAGTGATCATGATTTAAATAAAGATAAATTTGCTTCCCAGATGGTGAGCGAGATATTAACTCTTTATTGTATTGCAGTCTGCAAACTTATTGTTTAACAGTATGATCTCTAATCGAAGTACATATAGTTTCATTGAGTTCATCTATCCGAGAGTGAATATTAAATTTCACTATAGAGTTTCTTTTTATAATACCTGTGATGCTGATAGAAAACTGATGATTAGGGGTTAATTGTATGTCTCTATTTAGGACCATTTGGGCCTGTTGTTTGCCTCATTTTCACTTGTATGGAAAAATCGACTTGATTGCAGTTGTAGTTGTAGTTGTATGCAATGCTGCTGTTAATTCCTCAGGTGATAACATATTGCAGAGCCACAGAAAACTCTGTTTGACACTTGGGAATGAATGTCAAAGCTTGTATACTTCTGTACTCAAAAGGCAAAGTGTTAAGGGATGCCAAGGAAAGGCCCAATTTTTTAATCCCTTGAGGGTGGCAAAGTGGTAAGGGATGCCAAGTGGTGAGGGAGGGTAGATTAATGAACTAGGATTAAGATGAATCATGAGTTTGACTCCTCCGGTGTATAACCGAAAAAAGGGCAGTTCCTCTGAAGAGGAGATTTTCGGATGTTCCTGTTCTGATACCAATACATGGACATGTGAAACTCAACTTTTAGTTAGATTGGACCATTCAAGTACTAGCTTTTTGAGTCCTAATTGCTTTTATTACCAATATGGCCTAACGTATCCATCTTTACTACTTCAAAGTCGAACTCCTCTTTTAAGCTCATAGGCCATCATAATAATTCAAACTGTTTCTATACCTGAAACATTTTTATGTAAATTAAACTTCATACGTCATAGTTATCTAAAGCGGATGTGTTCCTCATATGCACCTGAGTTCAAATCCTTCTCACTGTTTCGTTCAACTTTCACGGTTTCACCTATGTTTTAATATTTTATGAAGGGACGATATTAGGGTATTAATGTTGTTTACAGTGTGTTTGAGAATGATAGAGATATAGGAGGAATCATTGTGTTTATGGGTCTGTGACATCATCCGTCTCTCACCTCACACACTTTTTGAAATTCAACTTCTCCATCCATGTTCACGTCACCGTACATGCCTCAAATTCTCAATGATGCATAAGATAAGCAAGGTCAACAAACATAGATGGTGCCTTTCAATTTCTCCATTATTTTTCGCTAACTTTAGGCTTGGGCTAGCTTGCTTGCCCGCCATGTTTATTGAACTTTTTTTTATATTTTTTCTCTCAACTTATGGATTAAATGAACAGAAGACTATGAATTAGTTAAGTGAGCACGGTATTAATAGTACATGTGGGTTAGTCGATTGGACAGACACTGTACTCGCTCCTTTGTACTTCAGTTTGAACTTGTTCATAGATTAGAGTGGTTAAGAATATCGCAGGATAATACAATATTATGAAAATCCATGTTAGCATGGTATTATGAAATCCAATTCCTTTCTTGTTGAGGAGTATCCATTGGGAAGTTTGTACTATGTTTTATTGTATGACATGCACTGGAATAATGAATGATTAAATGCGTGGTCAAAGGTACAATGAACAACAATTTAACGACCATAACTCTCTGTATCATTTAAGGGAGTTGCAATGGCTTTGACTGCATTTCAAATTCTAGTGTTTGTGGCTTGCAATTTAAACAAGAGAGGCAGTGCTTGGCAGGTTAAGTGAAGAGATACAGACGATGTACTTTTTCATAAGAGCACCTCGAACGAAATGTCAAAATTCTAGGTGTAATATCATTGTGCATATTTGATCTCAAAAATCTTTCTAAACGAAGTATTATTTGCCAACTAGATTTAAAAGCTTTGTGATTAGGAGTCTAATTTGATATCAATGTCAAATTTATTTTTAATTAATTTTAATGGTGGATCCCTTATTTCACTAATATTTCAACATATAAAAATTTTGTTTCAACATTTTTTAAATAATTACAAGCATTTTAAACTCTATTTTAATAAGAAAATAACATTTGACAATTCGGTAGGAGACATACAAAATTTGATATAAGACTTCAGATTGCCACATCTGCTATCAATTTGAATTGGACTTTTATAATTTGACATTTCCTTTAGAGATGGTTTAAGGGTTGGTTTGAGATTGTGGTGCTTTAAAAAAAAACAACTTATTAAAAAAGTTAGAACTTAAATTTGTTTGGTAAAATGTGTTTTTTTTAAACTACTGTCAATGAAAGTAGAAAAGCAGAAGCAGGGTTTACCATGCTTCTAAAAAAAAGTTTTTTTCTCCTTTTTTTTTCTTTTTCAAAGCATAGTAATCAATTCTCATTTAATGAAATTTTCAAAAAGCAAGTATACCCCTACATGTTTTATAAAATTACAATACTTGCGCCTACATTATTGTTTTTAACAATTATTATATCACATTAAGTACTATATCTATTTTTAGTCATTTAACATATTCAAAACAATTAACATAAAAGTTTACCACATTCAAATACTGCCTTTTTTTTTATTATTATTATTAAAAGCATTTTTACAAAAAAAGGTTTACCAAACACCCACTTTATTTTACAGTTTCTTATTCTCACAGCACAACAAAAGCAGTTTTTAAAAAAAAACCACAACAATACCAAACTAACCCTAAGTAGTTTATGTTATACCAACAATAAGATATTTACAAAGATTTTAAAAATTCATTTATAGTGTCACAAATGGACTATTTGCAACTTGGTTTTTTTTTTTTTTTTTAATTGAACAAACGATATTATCTACACTAAGGATGACGAGTTAGGCTAAATCTCATAATGAGCTAGCAATAATGTGGTTCAAATTCTCCTTAGGTGAAGATCGAACATAAGACCTCTCACTTATAAATGAAGAGAAATAACATTATAGCGTTGTACTAAGTCAACGTAACTTGATATTAAACTCATCATAAATATATATTGTCTTTATTATCTATAGAAGTCAAACTTCGAAACTTACTCCAATCAAGTGGAGACAAATATTAATTCGCCAAAAGCCAATTGATCTGCTTCTATGTATGTAAGGTGGTGCAACATTTTCATACTACTCTTGCGTTGCATCCTGATTATAAAATTTACATTCGGTTTGTGATCTTTCATGTGTGATCAATTAAGTCAAATACGGTGTGAATAATGTCTATGCATTCTAGTGCAGGTTTGAACTCCATTAATTATTTTTTCTCCTAACAACTAACAATTTAACATATTAACACTATTGTTTGTAAAAAAAAAATAAATAAAATTTACATTCGGTTTGTTGTCCCTCATGTGTGATCAGTTAAGTCAAATACGGTGTGGATAATGTCTATGCATTCTGGTGCTTTGAACTCCATCAATTATTTTCCCTCCTAACAACTAACAATTTAACCTATTAACACTATTTGTTTGTAAAAAAATAAAAATAAAAAATAAAAAATAAATATGTGTGTGGACTAGTTATGGTGGGTGACTTGAAGTATATTTGGTTTTGTTTTCTCTACGAACCTATGTTAAGACTCGAACATCCAACTCAAAATCAACTAATATCGAATCAATAGAGAGGTGAGAAATGTTAAGAAGACTCTCCGCCACTTCATTATTTTGGCACAATATTTATGATGTTGACTTGAATCCCAAAAAGATGCGGTGATGGAGAGCCCATAGAGAGTCCTATTTTTCAAAATTTTTATATAATTGTTCAAAGCCTTGGGATTAATGATGTATCATGTAAGATTTTGTACTCTTTTCATCATGAGATAGAGTGAGAATTTTTTCGGCTTAGACATGCATGGAAGGCCCCAAATAAAAGTAAAGTCTAATCCTAATTCCTAAGGCAAGTTGTGGTTAGAGGGGTCATATTTTTTCCAAGCTCTCAAGTACATTTCTCTCTCACTTCATCATGACATCCACACTTTGCTTAATCCCATTCCTCTTTTTTTATGATGAACTCTGCGGATCCCATCCCTTATTTTCTAGGCTTTCGATCTGCTTTTCACAACCCTCTTGGGTTTATTAGTCTAAGCAAATTCAGTTAACCAATGCATTGCTCATATTCTAACAACTCACCAGCCGCCACTACATCTTGTGTTTGGCTATAGAGAGTTGGAAAGAGAGAGAAAGGATAGAAAATTAGAATTTAAAATGTAAGTTTGGTAATTTCTCTCACATATTTTGGAAGATTAAGAAGCAATCTTTTAACTTATAAATGATATTTAATTTTTCTTATTCATGCGCTATTTGATGGGTAAAAAGTGTAGCATACTGTTTTTAGCTAAATTGACTACATTTTGCAAATGGTTATCTAAATTTGATTGATATTTTTTTTTTCATTTCTATCACTTGCCTATTATCTCTTGGAATTTCTCAAAGGAATCAATCTCTTTCTCTGTCACTTATCGTTTAACACATTATACATTTTTGCATTATATTTGTCTTGAGATATCTTTATAGATGTGTCAAATTGTGATTTGCAGGTAAACAAATCAGAGGAACCATGAAGCAATGTTCGTTATTATGCCTAATGGTAGTTACACCAAGTGATTTGTATGAAATGATATGCAACCTGAATCACTAAGCAATTATTTATAAATCCCATCAAGATGAAAGGGTGTTAAATCACCAGGAATGACTTAAG